CCCTAATCCTCCCCAAATATTCCAGTCAGGAACCCAGAATATGAGCAGATGAGCCAATGGGGGTCCGTCTCATTTAAACCACTACACCGTCCCGCTCCAGTCCCAAGCAAGTCCACTCCACCCTGCTTTCCGAATCTCCATGGTGCTGAGATCCTCCTGTTGTAGCCAGGTCTGACAATAAACAAAATACCAGCAACCTGAGTTCTAAGTCACTGTCCTTTCGTAAGCATGGTTATTATTTGGTATTGACAATGAGGTACTCCATCAGAAATTCCAGTGTGGGAGAATAGTCCTCAACTGTTAAGAAACAGCTCCACATGAACGTACAGCTAACTGTCACAGTCATATCTTCTTTATACAGAAGGTCAAATGGTGAGCCACCATGGTCCGATCTCATAGTCCCCTCACGCTCTACAGCTGCAGATTCTTCCCCCTGGATCGAATGGCACAGAAGCACGTGGTCATTCACAAGGCCATAGACACCCTCACTCTACTAATAAGGAAGTAGGGAGGAAAGGCAGAGATCCAGGCAGGGAGTGTCAGCATGCATCACGGGAGCAGAGGAGAGGAGGTGAGGACCAGGGGTCTCTAGTCTCCTTTGCACTAGGACGCGGCACAGTACTCCACAGAGAAGACGCCGGAAAGCTGAGGTCTTTCCTGGGAATGGGTCAGATCTCATGCCTGGAAGATGTTGGTCAGAACGTGCAGGTGTTGGGAGTCCCCGCAAAGGACAGCTGAGTTGTCTGTCCCACAAAGGAGCCTAAGCGCAAAGCTGGCAGTGAAGCTCTGTGTGAATCCTTTCAGGTCTCTGGATCCCCCGAAGACCTCAGTTTTCTTCAAACCACTCGTTGAACAGCCTCTGGAACCTGCCCCTGCTTTCCTGCTGGCACCTCCCCTCTGGCTCCTGATGGGCCAGCAGTGGGGGCTGCTGCTGCTGCTGCTGCTGAAGGTGCTGCTGCTGCTGCTGAAGGTGCTGTTGCTGCATCTGAAGGTGCTGCTGCTGCTGCTGCTGCAGCTGCTGCTGCTGAAAGTGCTGCTGCTGCTGAAAGTGCTGTTGCTGCTGCTGCGCCCCCTCTGGCAGGAGACCGGGCCTGTCAGCTCCCAGGTTGAGGGTAAGGCCACCTAGTCCCTGCACTAGAGTATCCCAGGAGGAAGGATTGGTGCTCCCATCCCTTTCCCCGGAAATACTTTGCCCACGGGTCTGGCAGTAGAGGCATTCACATCGGAACCAATTCTGAGTTTTGTTGCCTGAGCGGAAGATTCTGCTGTCCCTATCCACTGGGTAAGGTGACCTATGATCTCGGTGCCTGCGCCTCAGCTTGCCCAGGAAGGCTTTCTTCTGAGGGAAACCCAGCCTTCCCCAGCGATGCTCCAGTAAGCTCTTTGGCTCCACATACTGCTGCTGGAGCATCCCCTCTGGCAAGGATGCGGGGGTGCTGGAGCCAGGGGTGGGGGTCAGGCTGCGGAGGCCTATCCTCAGCTGTTCTAAGGCTATGAGATGAGCAGGTGCAGTGCCATTCTGGGGGGACTGCACAATGGTCACTTGAGAAGACGCGGAAGTTAATGCTGATTCCCATTTCGGGCGGGGATCCATGAGGGGCTAGTTTGAGCTGGAGGCCACAATAGTCCCGGGGTCTCAATAGGAAGGGGCAGGTGGTGGATTTAATGATAATGAGAAGGTAGTGGGGACGAATATGTTCAGCCAGAAGCAGCCAGACTGTAACGAAAGGAGACAAGGGGAGAAAGAAAAGCCCGGGGTTAGTCATTGTATTTCAGCTTTCTGTTCGGCATCTTCCTAGATGGAAAAAGCTAAGTCTGTATAAATTCCCAGAACTAATGACAGAGTTTCCGAATAAATGACAGAGACAAGTGCGCTGGCTTGTTTGTTTGGGTTTTCTGTCCTGCCAGGTTCCCCACAACTGTTTAGCCACAAATAAAATCACACATAGGTCTCCATAAATTATAAAGCTGATTGGCCCATTAGCTCTAGCCTCTCACTGGTTAACCCTCACATCTTGATTAACCCATTTTTCTGATCTATGTTAGCCATGTGGCTCAGTACCTTTTTTTCAGCGGGGGCAGATCTCATCCTGTTGCTTCCGTGCTCTGGGCAGGAGAGAGAGGAATCAGCTTCCTCCTTCTCAGAATTCTGTTCTCATTACATCATTTCTATTTCCTGTCTGGTTTTCCCACCTATATTTCCTGCCTGGCCAATCAGCGTTTATTTAGAACATGATTGACAGAATACAGAGAGTCCTCCCGCTCCAGACAAGGACAAGCCCGGAGTGATAGCGCACACCTGAGGATGGGGACCACAAATAGAAGTCATCCAGGGTAAAGGTGTGGGGAGACTTTTTGGAATGTGGCTCTGAGGTGAAGAGACCCCACATGCACCCGCATGCTCACTGCACACACAAGTCACACACAGAGAAAACAGCAACAAAGAGACAAAACTTAAGGCCTGCACATGAAAAATGACCAAGTAGACAGAATAAAACTAAATTTGAAAAATAACACAGATAACAAAAAATAACAGCTACACACATGATATAAATACATATGTCTATATATGTATGTATGTGTTGTGAAGTAAGAAAAACATACCCAGGGTCTGGGGTATAGACCACTGTCAAAACCGCTAATGAAAGAAGGCCTCATTAAACATAGCCAAATGCATGTTCGGGTTGAAAGTTTTGCCAAGTTGAATTAATGTATTAATCCAAAGCCAATCAAAATCCTGGAACAATATTTTTCTTCAGAGAAAGATGAGCCTACATCCTATGTAGAATTTCCAAGGTTTGAAAAACAGGAATGAATTTAAATAAATCACGTCATTTACTTTTAAGCCTTATTGTCAGTGCCGTGTCTTTGTTGTGTTTTGTACTGCTATGAGGGAAGCATCATATCCACAAGGAGCTGGGGGTAGAAATGGCTTACTTCAGGTTACACTGCCATATCACAGTTTATCAGTGAGGGAAGTCAGGGCAAGAACCCAGTGCAGGGATCTGCAATCAAGATCAGATGCAGAGGCCACGGAAGAATGCTGCTTACTGACGTGCTTCCTGAAAAATGCTCACCCTGCCCTCCTATACACCGCAGGACACCACTCACAATGGACTGGCCACCCCATATCAATTAATAGTTAAGAAAACTACCACAAAGTAGTAAAAGATAAGATTTCCTGAGTAAATTGGGAGCAAGGGGACCATGGGAAAGAATAGAAGAGGGGCAGAAGGGAGGGAAGCAGAAAAAAATATAGAGAAAGAGAGCTCAATAAAACCAATTTAATAAAAGAAAACAACCACAGGCTTGCACATAGGCCAGGCTGGTGGAAGTTTGTTCTCAGTTGATCTACTTCTTCAAAAATTATGCTTGCTTGTGTCAGTTGACACAAAACCAGCCAGCAATCAGCGAGACTATTGTCATGGGAACTGATGGACACTCAGATGCACAAAAGGAAACAATCAACAAATGCCCCTTACAAATGAGTCTGGACACAGAAAGCACAATGGGAATCAGAGAATGGTGAATCTTCAACAAACAGAAACCCCTGCATAACCATATGCAAAACCATGAACTCCAACCTCATAATTTATATATGCAGTAAATCAAAGATTTCAGAAAAAAAGCGTTGGTGGTATAATAATATCCCTTTTAGAAGACAATGCACAAAAACGCCTTCTGGACGAAACAATAGGTATGAACAAGTCTTAAACCAAAAGCATGATGCACAAATCCACATGCACACAGATGTGCATAGCTTAATTCAAAATGGAATCAATATTTAAAATGAGTAATTCAAAAGGAATATGTCAACTCACTCTGTGCTAACTAAGAACTCCAAATGGTAGATATTAAATGGACATCTTTCCTTATTCTTTCAGCAAACCTGTACTGGATGAATCTCAAAACAACCCGTTTTCTCTGTGTCTCCTCCTGCCTGCCCACCTCACTTTCCCTCTTTAAACTGCTAAATTGAATTGTAAGAATGGTATCTCCGGCCCTGTTATTTCAGCAAAGTTGGAATCCTACACATCAGTAGTTTCTTCAATACACACCAAATACTTAGAATTTGTTATAAACATAGGAAACCCAGAACAATATTAGAAAGCTATCAAGCCATGTGACTTACTTTTTATAAGACATTAAAAACAAATGTCCTAGGAAGGGGGACTCTTAACAATTCCGTCCTTGAAATCTCTATTACCTCATGCTCCTTAGGTTAATCCTGAGAGCCATCACCACCCCCTCGCAAACACT